CTTACCTCACCTCACTACGAAGTCGTAAAAGAACATGGGCAAACTGTTTTCATGCTTGATTGATGAGGGGGGCTCTAGCATGCACGGCATCAGTGCCATGCTGTCCTGCCGTCGATCAGACATGTCTATTTCCAAGGCTGGTCGGTGTGCTCACTGCCAAGAAGCAACCTTAAGAGTCCTTGGCAATGCTACAAAAAGTGAGAAAGACTTCCGAAAGAAGCGCTATGAGATGGCTCAGAACCAAGCCAACAAGGTAAACTTAACATACACTCACCCAAATGTGTATTAAAGCACCAGTACACCACACATCGGCCCGTGGGTGTCAGCATGAACCCCGGGCGATTTTTTTTTTCAACGGCGGCCCTGACCGCCTGGCGCCTCCGAGTTTTGCTTGTGGCAACAAAAACTTTCTGCAAGGCTGGGGGCGTGTACTAGTGGTTTAAACCACCAGTACCTTTCCCAGCTATTTTTTCAGAGGCGCACCGGGTAACCCGCTGGCCTGAAACGGAAGGGCGGCCGCCGATAAATCGAATCGACGGCCAGTCTTGATTTTTGGGCAGGCGCACAGTGCCTGCGGCCGCCATATGAGAAGGTACTGGTGGTTGAAACCTGCAGTGGTGATAACTTAGCTAAGTGTTTTTTTTTTTTTTTTTGAAATAGCTCAAGTGTTTGAGGACAGCACGTTTGATTGTGATGGTGATTTGTAAGATTGCACAACGCCATTGGGACATTCTTTCCTGGGGTGCCTACCGTCTTCACCCGAATAGGACGCCCGATCAGTAATGCTGTATTTTGCACAACTTTCAGTCCAGATACTGGTATAATTACGAGGGGTTATATTCTGGTGAAGACGGTAGCTTTTGATTGCACAATGCATACCAGACAACCTGGTAGACGACCTGTACGTTGTTGGCTCCCCCGGTGAGTGTCACAAGTTGGGCAATCGATAGTTATAGATGTTCTAGTCTGTCAAGATATGGCCAGTGAAAATGAGGTAGCTTATGTTCTGGATAAGCCTATGAGGCCATTTTCATTGGGGGGATGCTCGGATAAAGGTGTGGATTATGGTTAAGTTTATGGATACGGTTATGGATACGGTTATGGATAAGGTTAGGGTCCTGTTAGAGGATGTTCATCACGAGTATGATCACATAAAGGGGCAAATCTTGGAGGCAGTTTGCAACATCCAAAACCCGAGCAATGGTGGACGAACAAGGTGTGCAATTTGCTTGATTCCTATACGAAGAATTGACAACTATTGAAGTTGAAAGCTGAGTTGATGTATGTAGACACCGGTGTCTCTTTGTCAATCTTAGCTTTTGCAGCAAGTGGGCGCAGTGGTTATTTAGGAATAGGGATAGGGATGATGACCCTGCCGTGGAAGTGGAGGGCTCCCTCCTTTTTTGAAGGAAAATCTAGAGGAGAGAAAGGATAACCCTAGTGTCCTTATCCTGATGCTGATGCTGAAGGATGTGATGTGCAGTGGTGGGAAGTCTGGTGCCTGCGTTCCCTGGTGAATATTTGATATAGTCCCTTTAGTAGTATTCATATGATGATGATGCTGAAGGATGTCTTCAACGTTGCTCGAATCCATGTCATTAGGCACAGTGGTGGGAAGTAGCTGTTAAGGTGACCATTGGCGGAACGCCAATGAAAATGAGAGATAGTCCGTCATCCTTGACGTGGCCCTGGAGGCAGTTTCACTCTCGTGGTGCCTTTTCTGGGGTTGGATGTGTAATTGATCATCCAGTATGATGCTCTTGTTGGGGTAGTTGGGTGTTCACGCGCAGGGGTACGAGAGGAGTATACTTGGTTCTTTTTACAGGGTTCTGCAGCTGAAGGGTGTTTGTTGTACGGTTTTGCTGGCTACCTTACTGTTCTTCCGCTCAGCTGCATAGATATGTGAAGCCCTGCTGTTGACACGGGTCCTGCTTCTGCAATTTTACACTACATGTGCAGTGCTTTCACTGCTGACACACAGGTTTGTGGTTGGCTTGGGCTGGTATTGAGTGCAGGCCAATCATGATGCTGGGCGAGAATGAGCGGCTGAGCGAAGTGAAGATTTGGAGAACTCAGCGAGTCGGAATCGTGGTCATCAGTTTATAACAGAGAGCTGAGATGAGATTACATTTACGAGTGCCAGTTGTTGTGGGAATGTTTTGGGTGGATGGCCCTGCAGCAAACTAGATATTAGAAAGAGTCGGAAGTGGAGGCATGTGCTGCAAGAAATTTGACGCTGGATTTCCTATGTGGTGAGAGTATGGGACTTGTCAAGTCGAGGAGGCAGCAAGTCGGAAATTGTCCTCATCTTTTCGTAGAGGTGAGTCGTGGTCAGGTCACACTCACAAGGGTCGTTTATGATGGCCAAGGTTTTGGCAGTGTAGTGGTGGTCCTGGCCCTGCTTCTGTCCGGGATGTAGAAAGAGTTGGAGCTGGATGGAGGCACATGCCCAAGAGATGTACCACTGGGTTTCCTGCAGTATTTGCTCTGTCTCCTGTCTGCCAGGATTTCGATTGACAGGAAGATAGCAGACTGGACGAGGCTGAAGTACAGTGGAGGTAATGGTGCGAGAAGTATCTCAACGGTGTTTTCAATGTCAAATGTGCCGGCAACCCCTAGAAGTTGAGTCCCATGATGGCACCGTTACAGAGAAAGACAAACTGGCGGCAGTGGTGGCCCCGGAGGCCACACGAGGAGGTCAGCAAGCCTCCGTGTTGAGCAGTGCAAGCATCTTTTCTGCGGGAAGCCGAATGGACCAGTCATACGTCGTCCTCCCAAGGCGACCATCCCCGACAGGTCACCAATTCCCACCTCCAAGGTCTAGAGCAGGGGCTGTTGGTGGTGGTGTTGCTGGTGGTAACCCTGGCCAACCCCAACGCCATCCTTCTCTTTCTAATCCCTCCACACCTTCTCCGTCAGCTCCCCATCCCCCTAATGTACCTGATCGGGCCAGGTCCCCGGCTCAGGGTTCCAGATCGCCAGCACAGGTGGGAGGAGATGGCAGTGGCAGCAATGAGGCAAGTATGGGCATCGGAGGGGCAAGACCTGACCTTCAAGGGATGCAAGGTGGAAAAATGATGGAGGAGTCGTTTGTGATGCTTCCCTCCTCAACTGCATCAATCTACAGAGGATTTGGGGATGGTGGACCTCTGGGAGGCATTGGTATGGGGGTTCACGCAGGGATGGACCACACAAGTAATGCAAGCCTTGATGCCAGGATATCGGCATTGATGAGAGTTCTGGAAATAACATCGCAGCAACGAGAGGTTGATCGGCCGCTATGCTTGGAGTGCATGAGGGCGCTCTGCGAGGAGCTTGATGGAGAGATCAAGGAAGCAGAAAAAGACATTGTCGCATATGAGAAGTGTTTGGCGAGCGCTGAAATGGAACAACACGAGGCCTTGAGCGAAGAGGAATTTGGAGCGGAGATGCAGAAGGCGGAAGAGCAGGAACGACGGCTGAGGGAGCAGCTCACCTCCCTCGAGCAACAGAATGGAGCAATGGATCTGTGCATGGCTGCACTCAATGCCAAGGCTGCTGAACTTGATGAACTTGAGCAACGGTTCTGGCATGAGTATAACGACTTTAAGTTGGAGCTCATGGCTCATGAAGAGGAGCGGGATGGAGTCTTGTCAAAAATCGAGGTGGCAACATCACAGCTTGAAATGTTGAAACACACTAATGTATTCAACGATGCATTTCATATTTGGCATGATGGTGAGTTCGGCACGATCAACAACTTTCGGCTTGGTCGTCTGCCAAATAAACCGGTGGAATGGGACGAGATTAATGCCGCATGGGGCCAAGCATGCTTGCTGTTATCTACCATGGCGCAGGCATGCCGAATGACCTTCTCGAGCTATCGCATTCTGCCGATGGGGAGCTATCCTCGCATTGCCGATACTCGGAACACGTACGACTTGTATGGCCCGGTGAATCTCTTCTGGAGCACCAAGTATGACAAGGCAATGGTACTCTTCCTAGCATGCCTGAGCGAGTTTGCAGATTTTGCAAATGCGCGGGATCGAGCTGCTGACCTGCCTGTGGAACGGTGTTTCAAGCTGCCATACAAGATAGAAAATGATAAGGTCAATGGATTCACGATCAAGCAGAGCTTCAATCGAGACGACAAGTGGACAAAAGCACTCAAGTATATGCTGTGTGATTTGAAGTGGGCGCTGGCATGGGTGATAAACAATGCATCCATGCACCCACCTGCATCTGGATCTGCGTTGGGCTCGTTGGTGGCGGCTTCAGCGATGGCGGCTACTCAAGCTGGAATAGCTGGTGGGATGGACCGCAGTGGAACCGCCAAGCAGGGGAGTAGTGCTTTGGTGGTCCCTGCTGGTCGTGGAGTTCCAGTTGCTGGAGCCAACCAGCCGCAGCTCCATGGAGGGAGAATGGTTAACCCATCTGCAACTGCTGTGCAGCGGTCTCGAGCTGCCAGGGAATGTTCACAAAGTGATGCAGAAGACAGGAAGAAGCCATAACCATGATAGTGCTGCTGCTCCTACATCTTGCAGGATCAGTCAGAATTTGTGGATGCATGCATGGTTTGCTCCTATGTCTGCAGAGTCAGTCAGGAGGTTGCCCCCCAAACTTTCTCCATTCCTTCCTCTACGCACCGTTGAGCAATGGAAGCGACAGCTCAGGAGCCTGGAGCATTGCACATGTGAATGGTGAGGTATGCCTGCAAATATCAGTATCTCCATCAGCTCCCCATCCTTTCCCCTTCCTCCTGTACAACTGGGGGAAATAGTTCAAACCCTTGCCAGTGGTACTCATGCCATCACGACAGCTCACTCTTGACTTCAGCGTCTGGAAGGATAGATGTAGCTTCAATTAAGGCCAGTGCCACTGGGTATTGAAGTCAGAAGTCCATTGACTCTGAATGTGGTGTCATCTTACAGTCTGTTGCGTCACTTTTCCCATGCCTCAGCTTCTCAGTCTAACTGTCATGGTGCCCACTGTTCCTTTGACAGCGCTGCGAGTACACATTCTTTGATCCTGGAAGGGTTGCAATCTCGCGAGCGGGGACTGTTACTTTCTTGATCATACTGTCAGGACAGTCAGGGCTGCGTTTTGTTGAAGGGATTGAGAAAGTCCAGTTTCGCTGAGAGCTGTCTATACCCTCCTTGTAGGCATTGGCAGCAGCCCTACCGTCTTCCCGCGAACACAACACACCCTCATTTTGGCTGTATGGGACCTGAAAGATAGCTTGTATAAAGTCGTTATCAGGGTGCATTATGTTCGGGGGAACACGATAGTTCTCCCTGTGCAGCTGAACAGACTCTCCCCTTGACTGCTATGCCGTCTCTGTGCCACTGCCCCTTTTAACATGCTTTCACGCTTATGGCTTTCTTCTCTGATGATTTGCTGTCCAGCTTTTAGCTGTCCTGCCTGTTCACTGATATGTCAGGTTAGTACCTTGTGTGAGGGTCAAGCTCCCCTGATGTATCCTGTGTATAGTACTTATTTGTTGCCAATGCCACCAAAGAGACGTCCTAAGATCTGGCTACCGTCTTCACCTGAATAGAACACCCGGTCATTATAGCTGTATTTGTGCCAACTTTCAGTCCAGATGCAGCTATAGTGACCAGGCGTTCTATTCGGGTGAAGACGGTAGTCGAGTGTGTGATTTGTCTGGCGAGGCATGCCTGTAAGACACGGAGGCTTTGTTGTAAATATGGATCCTTTTTTCTTTTTTTTTTTGGATGGAATCCGATGGATTCATTTTCTAGATTGAGGTCATTTTTCTGAAAGCTCAAGAGTGTTGTGCAGCACTGGACGTTGTGCTTGATGGATTGTTTTTATGCTCGACACACCCCCACTCATGTGTATGGATTGGCGTGGCATGTGGTGATGGCAAAGCTGCCTTTAACCCGTCTTCGGAGTTCAAAGGAGAAAAGTATTGAGGGAGTTTAGTGCGAGCAATTCCATTGTGGGGTTTTCTGAGGACAAGGAAAACACAAGAAAAAAGGACATGTTCCATAGGAGTGCTCAATTCAGGTTGTCCGTGCTTTGGACCTCAGTGCATGCAGCAGTTTCTTGGAACGATGTTCCCCTCTTTTCCCTCTCTCTCTCTCAGATACTGAGCAGGGGCAGAGAGAAGAGGTGCTGTTGAAACATGTTTCCAAATGTCATCTTGTCTTCTCACAGTACTGCTTGCCTGAACTTAGATATGCTCGCGTGTTGCTTGTCTGAGTTTCTCTTATCTCTTATATTATCATTGTCTGACTTCTGCTTTCCATCCTGCTCTCTCTCTCTCTCTCTCTCTCTCTCTCTCTCTCTCTCTCTCTCTCTCTCTCCCTCCCTCTCTCTCTCTCTCCCTCTCTCTCTCTCCCTCTCCCTCTCTCTCTCCCTCTCTCTCTCTCTCTCTCTCTCAGGGAGTTTTCTTCAGTGTCCTAACATTCATCCCCTTGTAATGTCCTTCTCTCCTCCTCCTCTTTCTCATACTACTAGTGCAAGTCCAGGCACGCCGCGGGCGTTGCAAACCTCTGCACAAACCAATATATACAGAAAATCCAAGTAACCCCAATCCCTTCAGAAGCTATCCCCATCTACGCTATGTCCACTGATGACCTCACCCTGATGGTAGGTTCCTCTCCTGAAAATATGTTGCTAGTTAAACAACTGATGGATCGCTTTTGTGAACTCTCCGACAAGGCTGTGAACTGGGGAAGCAAAACAACGGGATGGTGGATTCATTACCAGGGAGGGAGGCCACCAGAAAGCCTGCAAATCAAGTGGCCTCGAACACAGGCCGTCATTAGAGTGTTGGGTGTACTTATGCCAGCAGAAGGAAGGCCGGCCACTAACGATGAATGGATATACATGCCTGTCCTTCATAAGTTGGCCCACTGGAAGGGCAAACACACCTCTCTGATGGGCCGTGCCTGTCATTAACAATGTTGTTCTGGCAACCCTCTGGTATAGGTCGTCCGCATCGGCAGTAAGCAAAGGTTCCCTGCAATCACTCCAAAGACAGGTGGCGGCCTCCCAATGGAGAGGGAATTACGAGCAGAAATATGTGATTAGTAAGTAGGGTAGCATGGGAGTCAATGGTCCAGCCCAAATCAAGAGGGGGATTGGGGATCATTGACCCGTCAACACAACTGATGGCACTGGCTCTGAGAAGGATCCAACGTTACTACATTACTCACAACTCACCGCTTGTCATGGAGCAACTGAGGAGACTGGCACGCCCACGCCCCCTTGGCACTGACCTGCTAATGTGGCAAGAGGATAGATATTGGCCCATTCCGCGTAAGTCTCCCATTGATGGCCAAAGCGATAGGCAGGACGTCGGCATGGACGTCCCAAACGATCCTTTCTGGATCACCACACTTAAAACATGGCGGAAACGCCCTCTCCCAGATAAGATTCCCCCGGAACGATGGGAGGAGGTTGTTACGGACTCAGCCAGGGCTCGATCGCTGGTCCGCGGGGTACCACCCACCAGCCTGCTATTTTTTTTCTATTTTTTTTTTCCTGCTCTTCGGTTTCTGACTGTTGGCGCCCTCTGCAGTTGGCACCCGTTTTCAAATCCCTCCTTTGGCACTTTCGGATTTCGACACTTGGCGCCATCCGACATTTTGGCGCCCAGACTCAGACTTTCGATTCTCAGTTCAGTCCTCAGGCAATGGCACTTCTGCCCTCCGGACTGAACTTGAGTCCGGTACTTAAGACCGGGCTGAAACCCAGTACGGGCATTCAGTTTTCGGCCTCAGTGCTTGTGCTTCAGTGTAACTTGCTTCGACATTGTGTTCGGGAATCGAAGACTGTGACTTTGCGACTTTGCCACTTCGTGTATGCGTCCGTCAAGTCTTGTCGAGTCTGCGTCAAGTTGAGTGAGTGTGTGTGTGCTCTCACCCGCTCCTCTCTCTCCCTCAGCCTCGCTACTGTGCCTCTGCCTCTGCCTCTGCCTCGTCACACTGGTATCGGAGCGGCTTCGGCCCTCCCTCCCGCCCTGTTCTATCATCGTCGCCATCGTTGCCACGTCATCGTCGTCGCCGTCGTTGCCACATCATCGCCATCGTCATCATCTTCGTCGTCGTCATCGCTGCCACGTCAGCGCCTCGTACCTGTCGTTGTCCCCATTGCCACGTCAGCACCTTGCTGCCTCCCTCGTCGCTGCTGCAACGCCACTGATCCCAAAGCCGACGTGCAGGTAAGTGACCAGTAAACTTTCTTTTTTTTCTCCTCCCCCCTCATTTCTTCTTCTTCTTCCCCTAGTCGTCGTCGTCATCGCTTCCTTTCCTCCTTCCTTTCCTCCCTCGATTATTGTTCTTTCTCGTCCTCTTCAATCCTCCTTCCCCCCCGTTCTTCTTCTTTCTCCTCATCGTAGTCGTCATCCCTCCTCCTTCGTCTTCTTCTTCCTCGTCTTCATTCCCCCTTCCTCCTACGTGCCATCTCCACCTCTCTTCCCGCGCGCTATTCCCCCCGGCTGCCTACCCAACAATCCTACTCCCCGCCCTCCCGCGACTTCGCGATCCCCCACGCGGACCCCCCCCGCCCTTCCGAACTCCCAAACCCCGCGCTATCTTCTTCCCCCCCCAGTGGGATCCTTTTTCCTCCCTCCCCAACTTCTCCCTGTCTCCCCGATCTCGCTCCCGCTTCCCCCACCTTCTTCCCACCTCCCGTGCGATACACCGCGCACCTCTCTCCCCGCGCACCGCTACCTCGACCTTGGCTACCATCCTCGCTTGCCCTCCGGCTTCCTGCTCCCCTCGCAGCTCAACCCCTCCACACCCTGCCCTTCCCTCAATGAATGGGTAGTAACAATGAGTCGAGTCCTCATAGAAGCAACCGAAGCCCTTGAAAGAACACAAGAACAAGAAGCAAACAAGATTAACAAACACAGACAAGACTTGCAATTCAAAGTAGGGGACAAAGTCTGGCTCTCCACCAAATGCTTCGAACCCGAACATGGATTGTCAAAGAAACTCTCGAACAAATGGCTCAGACCCTTCCCCATCATTGAAAAAACCTCCAACGTTAACTACAAACTCCAACTCTCCCCTGACATGAGTCGTGTCCACCCTGTCTTCCACATAGAATACCTAAAAGAGTATCATGAATCCCCACCTCAATTTGCTGACCGACCTTACCCCCGACCTCCATCAATCATGCTTCCCACAGGCCCGGAATTCGTAGTAGAATCCATCATAGGATGACGAACTACACAGGTATCAGACCATCCGGAACCGATCAAAGAATACAAAGTCAAATGGACTGGATACCCCGATGAAGAATCTACATGGGAACCTCTCTCTAATCTCAAGAACGCTATGAAACTTGTTCGCGCCTATGATCGCGCTCACCCTATAACCTAGAAACATCCCCAACCTTAAACCCCTGCATAAACCCCGCCTTGACCCCGCCAAAAACCCGCATTCCTGCCCTACACACACCCGTCCCCAGCAAAGCCCTTGCCCCTTGACCTCCCTCTGTCTGATCCGCTCTTGCCTCCGTCTTGCCCCCTTCTCCCATCTGTCCTCCGCCGCATCCTTGTCCGTCTTGTCCAAGTTCCCTATGTGGCCCCTGCGCGTCGCCGACGATAATGGATCTAATGGCAAGCGCACGAGGACGATGGCATGCTGCAACTTAGTACGAGGAGATAAGACAGCTGGTTGGCCACCATGCTGTTCCCTTTGGCCGGCACCTTGGACTCGCAGACTTCTTGAGCAGCACCTTTGACAGGGACATCAAGATCAGTCTGCGACCCGCTATCCAGATCAGACCTCAGCACCAGATCCGAGTACCGGACGCATCCTGCTACTGGGACATTCAAGCTGAAGCTCTCGCCGTCCACATCACAGACCTGCTGAAGACTGCTTTCTCACCGACACTTCTGCGACACCTTTCAAGACCTGTTCTCAAGACATCTACATGGACTGCTACACAGAACTTTCAACCTGTACCACTAAATCCCGGACCCTCAGCAACCCCGCCCCGTACATCGCAAGCCAAATTTCCTTTTTTTTTAGGACCACATAACCTGTTTTGCCCTGAACCTCCTAGTCATCAGTAGAATTACCTTGTTTCCCCGTTGTTTCCAACCCCTTAGTTCACGAGTAGGATTACCCTGTTCCCTGTGATTCCCAGCCCCCTTAGCACATCAGTAGAACTACCCTGATTCCTGCAAAACCCCTTAGCTCGTTGATAGGATAACCCTGTTCCCTCTTACTTCCCGACCCAGGCCACCCACATTATACCCCTCTTCCTTTTGACATGTTGACCAGTGATCGGCCCCGTCACGTCCTTCACAGACTTCAGCATCGTTTCATGGCTTTTGGCAGCCGGGATGTTGCCTTCTAGAGGGAGGGGATAGTGTTACGGACTCAGCCAGGGCTCGATCCCTGGTCCGCGGGGTACCACCCGCCAGCTTGCTATTTTATTTTATTTTTATTTCCTGCTCTTCGGTTTCTGACTGTTGGCACCCTCTGCAGTTGGCGCTCCTTGTCAAATCCCTCCTTTGGCACTTTCGGATTTTTCGACACTTGGCGCCATCCGACATTCTGGCACCCAGACTCAGACTTTCGATTCTCAGTTCAGTTCTGAGGCAATGGCACTTCTGCCCTCCCAACTGAACTTGAGTCCTGTACTTAAGACCGGACTCAAGCCCAGTACGGGCATTCAGTTTTCGGCCTCAGTGCTTGTGCTTCAGTGTGACTTACTTCGACATTGTGTTCGGGAATCGAAGACTGCAACAGTGGGTTCCCAACTAGGCGGATCCCAGAAACCATCGAACACATTTTTATGCAATGTCCTAGCTCGGTCTGGGTATGGAGATGGTGGGACCGGATTTGGGGACAGTGTGTACAGATCATCAGTGGTCTTGGGACTGGAGAGCGATACTGTGTGGGTCTTGGAACACAGACC